AGCCATTATTAATGGTGGAGTTTTTTCCCTATTGGAAGTAGGGATAGCCTCTTGGCCTGAATAGAGGTTGTGGCAGCAAGTTCCACAAACTGCCTACACCTTGTTTTAAACCACTGATGCATTTCACTAGTGTATTGCTCTAGGTTCCGAAATAAGCCATGTAGCATGGTTGGTAACTTTCTCAAATCACAGTAAGTTTTAGTTTGGAACGAGTTGAACCTCAGTTCAACCATCTTCATTTAACAAATGCCAGTTAATATATTTAGGCCCTTGAGGTATAGCTAAAATGCCTATGTCTGTCTTGTGATACGGAGTTTATGTGCTACATGTGCCAGTGAAATTGCTTTCTATGTTAGAAGCACAAATGTGCTTTAGGCTTTGCTCCGCTGTTTTCTCTTTATTGTTGCTGGTGGTTATTTGGGGCAGTGCCTGCAGCAGTGCTGCCTCGGGCTGCAAGTAGTATCAGAGCTTCAAATGAATTAGGCATTTTAAGTCCTGTGGGGTTTTGTTCTTTCTGTTTTTTAAGAGCAGGACATCAGTCCCCTTTGCTGTGGCTGAAATCCAGTGCCTTGATTGCTGTGCATTTTATGTATCTAGCTAAGCTGTGTGAAAACTAGTATTTCTGCTGTGCAAAAGAAAATAAGCATGAGCGACTGTGTGTGTAAATAGAGTAGTAAATCTAATTTGCAAAGAAGAGTTGGGAAGATGGAATTTTTTAAGATCTGTTTTAATAGAGCCAAAATGGCATTTCTTGCAAAATATTGTTGCTGGGACCTTAGCAATGCGTTGGAGAAATTGCCAGGGAGCTTAAGGAAGGCAGGTGTTGGGGGTGAACAGGCAGAAGACAAAACGTTTCCTCTGCCACATTTCCTGTGAAAGTGGAGATTCCATCAAATGAACTGATGTGTAAATTATTTACTGAAATGTAGTACCCCAATTCTGAATCTCAGTGTAATGTTCACTTCTTTTTCCCCTGCCTTAAACAGGAGTTTCCAGTTTTTAAACCCAGTTAGCATCTTGCAGCTGCCAATGACAGAATACATAGGGACCCTACATTTAACTACCTACCTATTAGTTTTCATCATGGGAATGCTCAGCTGTTTCTGGAAACAGGGCATCTGTAACTTGTGAGGAGTTGGGCAAAATTCCGGAACCTGGTAGTTTGGGAAGATTTAGACTGCAGATTCCTGCTTTTTTTCCCCCATTGTGTGAGTGTGAGGTGCTGGCAATGTTAGCCTGTCACACACTGCAGAAGGAAGGAGAGGTATGCCGTGCACTATGCAACAGAGCACAGCTGTGCACTGGTGGAAAAAATCTATGCTTCTCACCTAGCTGCTTAAGGATTTTCAATTCAGTGCTGCTGCTGCTTTAGTCTTTGCAGATCAAAATAATGCTTCAAATAGAATTACCGTAAACTGCTGTGGCATGCAGCAACCTGTAGAAATGCTCTCTCTGAGCTCATGAGACATGCTGCAGTCATTTCTAGAATCAGGAGAAAATCAATACTTTACAGGGAGTGAATGGTTATTCTTACTTAAAGAAAGAAGTGGTGGGTTACTGAAGATGGGCAGACTGGGTTAGTGGTTTGAGATCTTGGGCTACTGTTGTATCTGCATTGAGGGTTGGCTTTGCGAAATGTTCAAGAGAGCAGAGGGAGGGAAGTGTGAGGTTTTTAGTCTGTATCCAGAATTGTAACTAAGACCCATCTGTCCTAATTATGTTGAAATGAGGGGCGACTTCTTCCTATGCCATATTCTGTCCCATTTAACTCAGCAAATTAAATGTAACAAAGCTGTTACATGTTGGACTGACTTTCAGTACCACATATGAAAGTGTATATAAGCAGGAGGAGGACTGTTAGCAAGTCAGTGCAGCAGTGACAAATGAGGAGAAGCACAACACCTGGCTCTGGGTTTTACTGAAATCCTTGCTGGTTCAAATCAGGTGCAGTCTCCCCATGGACTTCGCTTGCGCCAGACTTCCTCCTGCAGTGTTTTGGGCAAAGGTCACTGCCCAGCTCTGCTATTTCTGAAACATGGCTTCTCCCATTCCTGTCTACCATCTACCTGAATAGAGCAAGTAAATGCATCTGCTAGCACTGACTGCAGCAGCTGCAGAACCTGGGCAGCTTTACATATAATCTTGTATATACCCATGTATTGATGACAATAGGGCCACTTTTGAAATCTAAGATAGTCCTTCCTGTGCTCAGTCATCTCCAGGTTCCTTACGTCATACTCCCTGGCATAACATGTCTGTGGTTTTTCGTTCCCCGTACTCTCATGCTCTTAAAAGCCAGATTCTAAGAGCATAGATGCACATTCACTAATCTTAAATTACCAGCACTGTTTGCTTTTACCCTGATGCTGGCTCTGCACTGGAAATGAGCCCCCTCTAGTCTGTCCAAGAGGCACAAAATAGGAAGTTGTTCTGGTTGCTTCAGTTCAAAGTCTGAAGGTGTAATGTGTGCAGCAGGAAGACATTTTTCTTCTGTTCCACCAAAGCATTGGGCTTTTAAGGAAACAGAGGGCCATTAAAAGGCATTTTGGAATACGACATAGTTCATTGGTCCCCTGTCCCTGGAACCCAGTGGGGGTCGAGAGCTGCCAGTTGCAGGTCCAGCTGTGCTGTGTGTTACATGTGTGATAGTCTAGAGGTACTTTTGCCAAGGCCAGGTAAGCAGATACCTAAGGAACAAGATCTATTTAAAGGGAGTAAATCAGAAATGTAAAGCTTAACTATAGCAGCAGTATGCACATGCTGTGGTCTGTCCTAGGTTTTATCACTTCCAGTTTTTCATTTTGATTCTCTCATGTTTTGGGCGTATTGTCCCTTTGAAGGTCATCTGCTTCTACCTTTGGGAACATGTTTGATGTTTCACCGGAGACATCCAAATGGCTTCTTATTCTTCCAAACGAAGACACTTACCTCCCTGCTTTACTAAACATATGTTTCCGTGCAGGTGGCTTAGCCCACTGGGATATTGCAGTGTTAAATTACTGTGATAGCTGACAGAATGAGTCTCTCATCTTCCATTTTCTGTGAGATTTTGCTTTGGTTTTGGGTGGGGTTTTTTTTTGCGAGAAAAAACACTCTTTATGGTGCAAGACTGCCGATATCAAAGCTACTGAAGCATTTTACTTTAGGAACTTTTAGACCTTGATTTCTTAGGTGCCTTTCCCCTCTTACCTGTTGTTCTTGGGTTTTTGGGGGGTACATTGGAGGCAGAAGAGGAGAGGGGAATTCTTCCATTTGCTATCTACTCATTTTAAGACTTTATACTGCCACCCATTGCAGGATTGGAGAAATAAGTAAAATAAGTATGTAAGTATCCATATAAAACAAGTAACAGTAGCAAAATCTCTAGAGGACCCTCGCAGGGGGGGTTTGAGGAGAGGTGGTGTAGATTTTGCAGTAAGAAGGAAGAGATTATTCTCTCAGCAGTACTTAGATTGGGAAGCTTTCCTAAAGTAGCAGTTTTGCAGTGCCTCTTGAAGTAGCCAAGACTGTATTACAAAGGTTTCTCAGAGATACCAGCCACTTTATTTGTCCTGCCAAGTTATTTGATCCGTTTCATGCATTGAACTTTTTTATAAGAAGGAATTTAGCTCAACTTCAGGATTAGTTTGTGAAAAGGTAATTCAGACTTTGTTCCTGGCTAAACTAATGTGTTTGTTTCCTTGTATTTCTGGTGGGTGAACCCCTCCAGTAACAATAATGGTAGAACCGCTGGCCTTTCTCATCCAGACACATGCAGACCATCATTTCTAGACCAGATCTGCTTAGACAGTAGCTCCGAATTCCAAGAGGCAGATCAAGTTAATGCTCTATCTGAGCTAATTAGTGCCATCTCTGAAAGAGTCTGCGTGTGTTGTGTTGCATTAGTGGAAGCTGGGAGGAAAAATTGTGCCCTTTGAGAAAGCCACAGGGAGGGCTGGCTGGCCCAACATTACAATAATACAAATAATGTTCTTTAGATGTACTTGTCTTTAATGGCAGTAGAATTAACTAACAAAGTTCGTGTATATTAGCTTGTTAATAACATTGTATATATTAGCTTGTTAATAAGTATGAATGATAAATCATTTAATGTGAACCAAAAATGCTTAGTCCTCTTATTTACCATCTTAGTTTTGGTTACATATGAAATATTTCCTGATATACTAGCAAATATGTTAAGGTGGGTTTTACAAGAGCATTGTGGTCTTGCAACTGCGATGGCCATCATAATAAATCTTTAAGGAAAAAGACAGCATTTTCAGCATCATGTATTCAAATTAAAAAAATCAGAATTTTGAGGGACAAATCAAGAAAGCCTTGTTCTAGAAATCTATTTGTATTGGGCTAGTACTTTCAGTTGATGAAAATGGCTGTAGTAAGAATGCATTGATTTACACCTGTAGATCTGGCCTAGAACATGCAGAGCTGAATGCTTCTTTTACAGGCCTCAGTCAGGTGTTTTGCCTTCTGAAGCTTAGCTTGAATCTCTTGTGAGCAAATAATTATTCAAAATACAATTTGTTTATTGTTATGTTTTAATCACTGAGATGATGTTGTATTTTACAGGTTTATATCTAATTAACAGCTACCTTCCCATATATAATAAATTGAATAATCAAATGTCTGTAGAAACTGAAAGGGCTAAAATGTACCAGTCTTGAGGTTATGAGTGTGCACTTTAACAGCCCAGAGAGCAGAGCCTCAAACTGGGTGGTCTGTGTTGCATTTTACTCTACTTTGTGATCTTTGCCTTTTTGAGCAAAAAATAAAGCCATGTTCATAGTTGTGATAACTTCCGGGAGATGTAGATGAAACGCTGTCAAATACTGAGATACACAGTGCTGTGAGTCTTTTAAAAGAATTCTCTGAGTATTTGGTCTGGCTGAAACCTCAGGGGTCAGGTTCTTCTCTTGGTCCAACAAGAGAGAGTGACTAAAAACCAGAACAGCTACTTGGGCTTTGGATGTTCAGATCATGCTTTGTATATGTCCTCATTTCAGATCACTGGTTGTTCACAACATGTGGTGCCAGCGGACCCTATGGCCCCACACAGAGCCAATGCAATGATGCCTACAGGAACTCCAACCTCAGTGTGGTTGTAGGAGCTGAAGGGATTCTCCAAGGCATTCAGATCTGGAGAGTACCAGCAACCAACACCTACAGGTAAGGGAACAGTCTCCGATTGTCATGATATATCTTTGCACCTGAAACTTACCCAAGCTGCAGGTACATGCTAGGCATATATAAAGTATTATATTCAGAAGTTTGGCCAGATCCGCTTGGGTTATACTTCTCCTTGATCCTGTGATTTCCAACCTTTCGAGTCTCAGATTTATTGTCTGGAAGCTGTGACATTTTGGTGAAAGAGAGAAGAAAAGAAAAAGAAGCAGCTATGTGAGGCAGACAGATCTTTAGCCTAAATTGTCACAGGTTGGGAGAGCTCTGTAAGTAGCTGAAAATCAAGCGTTTTCACCTCCCCAGGCCAAGGGGCATACATATCCCATATGCCGTCCATTGAATTCTGTGATCGGAATGAGTTTTTCCCACTCTTTACCTGGTATAGCAGGCACAGTCTTATGTCAGCATTTCTTCTGGAACAGCTTGCATCAAGTTCTGCTCGGCATCTTAGCTTTTTTGAACCTAGGCATGGTAAGTTGAGCCTGTAAGCCTGGCTCACCACTGTAGAATTGATTTTGGAAGCCAGCCACCTAAGTGTTAGGCTCTGTGATACTGAGGATTCTAACACTTAAAACCCTCTGTGGAGTTATTTTCAAAGGGAGATGATCAGATACAGTTCAATGTTACTTAATCAGATTTTTACCAATCTTTTTTTTTCTTTTTGCACTTCCTGGGGGAAGAAGTACAATCGGAATGTAGTTCACTGTATCTGAATGGTAACATCAAGCCATTACATGCATCAGTTTGTAAGCAGAACTGTCTGTTTGAGTCAATGACTGTCTAGTGGTGGGGTTTTTATGCAACATTCCTTATTGAAACCAATGACGGTATTGTGGATTTCAAAGCAGAACATGCCACTGCAGGCTTTGAACAAATTTCAGTTAAAACTTACTGGCACTGTCTTTTTTTTTCTTTTTATTAAAAAAGAATATTAGTATTGAGGATAGATGTCAGTCTCTAACATAAGTCTACTGCAAAGCAGTTTTGAGAGCCTGGCTAGGTTAGGCTAGGCACAGGTTCTGCCTGAGCGCCTATTACCTCAAGGATTGATGGTAATGAAAAAAGCGTTAATGATATTTTACTTGGCTATCAAAAATGAGTTGCCTGAGGTGAATAGAATTCTTCAGGACCAGCATTCAGTAAATATGGTTATAAAGTATAGCCCAAAAGAGAAGAGGCAATAAACTTACAACATTGTCATTTCTTTAATATCATAGCCCAAGAAGAGCCAGAATACCAGTGCAATTGTAGGCTGATTTTTGCTACACAACACAAACTATGGGTCCTGCAGGGAGGACCTGTCTATTTAAGTCCTATAAATGACCTAATAGACTTTTAGGTTCTGTATAGATAATAGATGGCTAATGTGACTGGTAACCTATATATAAATGGATGACATTCTCTTGTGCACCTCTTAAGGCTATAGTAGACAGTTCACAGCCCGGGGAAAGGAGGAGGCAATTGTGGGCTGAAATTAACTTGACATCTTTCCTATTCTGGGCTGCTGAAGGGACAGCACAGTCCCCCAGTGTAGCGTAGCCCTAGGAAAATGTCAAGTTGCAATATCAATTCAGAATATGGACCCACTGCCTGTATTTAGCTTTCCCCTGCAGGCCTGCTGTGCTGTGAGTCCTGTAAGTAAGCCTGATAGCCATCTCCAATATACGTGACCCAGAGATAAAATCCTCCAGCTGTCTGTTGGGCTCTTAAGAAAGCTGTTGTTATGCCATATCAGTGGTTTTTTACAGTGCACTGTAGAGCGGTGAGTTACATTCCTGATAATTGCATAAGAAGGATATAAATTGTGTGAACACAAGGCAGAATATGTGCTATTAAAATGCAAAGACAGAAAGCTCAACTTTGCACAAAACTCTACTAGCACAAGCTAACCACACCCAGAAAATCTCGCCATCTATGAAGGTCTGTGTAGGTTGCCACAAACTGTAGGCATCTTCATTTGAAGACTGGAGCCCTACATGCTCCAGTACTGATATGGTCAAAAATCATCTGGTTTTGCTCCCATGGGACTGCACATTGTATAACAATAAAGTTAGACAATATAAAAGGATATTTTTCTTTTCACATTTCCTTCTAAGCATTTAGAAGGTTTTGTCATCCCATATCTAGGCCTATGATCCAAGTATGAGAGAAGTGAACTGTAATAAATTAGACGTTACCATCCATTATCCAAATTCTTTCCATTTTGAAAACAAGAGTCTTTGGTCCGTTTTACTGGTGCCCCATTTGTTATCACTTCCACTGTCCTCTCTTTTCTCTGGTCCCTTCTTGTAAGGTAGCACAAGAACATGGCACAGCGGAATGCAAAAAGGCGCCCTTCTAAGTTGGCCAGCCTAGGCACTGCATTTTCTCATATTCTCAAAACTGGCTCCAGTGTTTCCCATGACCTGTCTACCCAGAGATGAATATTTTTCTCCAGCCCTCGTTTTCCCAGCCAGAGCACTCTGCTCATCCTGATCCTTCCTGAAGATGCAGTTTTCTTTTTCAGTTCCTGCAAGTACCGTAGTAAAAGAAAACAGTAAGACAATGGAAGGTATTCTATGTTCTGGTTATATCTACTCAGTGTGGTCCAAATCTTTCTTCCGGGACAATATAGTTAAATGGATTCCTCCTGTGAAAGAATGTTGTGCCTAAGGAAAACGATCCCGCTAAAAATTGAAGTCACGATAACCCATCTGTTTAAATAGTGGCACCCATTTTGAATAGGGAATGACTGTCACCTGCATCTACTGGGTTTTATTGGTCTGCAGCCTTTGAATGAGGACAGAATGGGTTCTCCTGAACTTCCTGACATCATTGCTTGTATGCAAAATCTGTTCATACACAGAAAAATATGGCCCCTAATTGCAGCCAATTAGCCCTGCCAGCTTGCTGTGCCTGATAGTGCACCTCATTAGCCATTACAAAATTCTACAGCAAATCAACTCAGTCTTCAGATACATGCAGCATCTGTTCAGGGTAGCCCAGTGCTGTGTCCATCACTTTTTCTGCTGGTTCCAGGGCAGCCTTTCTAAGGAATGATTGCTTTGGTTATCAGCAGTGGCATGAACATAATCATGTCACATTGCAAGGATCTAATGTTCTTTACAAGGCCCTTGATGCTCTATAGTTGCTTCGACATCAGAACTGCTCCCTGCTGGCTGCCTCAGAGCAGTGTCCCAAGGTGAGATCCTCATGCTAATTGTTAAGGCAAGTTGCTGGCTGAAAGTGAGCTGGCTGCCCAACCTGTTCAGGATCCTCGCTCATGAGGGGCACTGCTGGTCCGTTCTGCTTGTAGCCTGTTCACATGCAGGACTGTGCTGAGCAAAGACCAACCAGGTGCTAGAGGAAAGGAGAAGTTAAAGCAGAGCACCTAAACTGTGACTGGTAGGAAGCTGAGAGGAAGTTTTGTGTTCTCAGCCCTACAGTCACTCTTTATGTGCTCCAGGTTGAATTTTGCTTTCATGGAAATAGCTGCAAAGCTACTGATGTCAGTGGAGAATCACCTACTTATTTCAGATCTAAATTGAGCTTGCTGTACCACCACTCACTTGCTCAGAAAGTTGAGTTACTCTGTCTTTTGTTGCAGCTGAGGTGTGTTTTATCATGATTTTTATAAAGTGCTTTGAAATCGCAGAATCACAGAATGGTCAGGGTTGGAAGGGACCTCTGGAGATCATCTAGTCCACCCCCCCCCACCAGAGCAGGGTCACCTACAACAGGTTGCACAGGACGGCGTCCAGGAGGGTTTTGAATGTCTCCAGAGTGGGAGACTCCACAACCTCTCTGGGCAGCCTGTGCCAGTGCTCCACTACCCCCAAAGTAAAGAAGTTCCTCCTCATGTTAAGACGGAATTTCCTATGTTCAAGCTTGTGCCCGTTACCTCTTGTTCTATCACTGGGCACCACTGAAAAAAGACTGTTCCCATCCCCCTGGCACCCTCCCTTTAAGTATTTGTAAGCATTAATAAGATCCCCCCTCAATCTTCGTTTCTCTAGACTAAAGAGACCCAGGTCCCTCAGCCTCCCCTCATATGAGAGGTGTTCTAAGCCCCTAATCATCTTTGTAGCCCTTTGCTGGACCATCTCCAGCAGATCCCTGTCTTTGTTGAACTGGGGAGCCCAGAACTGGATAACTTTGATAAAAGCTGCTTCAAGTATGTAAATTGTTTATGTACTTAGAAAGGGAGAGGGAGGAGCTGAGCAGTACAGTGGTACAGCCAAACATTAAGGACCTCTGAATCTTGACTGCTTGAAATAGAGGTCCCAGAGCATTAACTGAGACTGCAGCAGCCTGTGTATGCAACCTAGCCACTCCTGGCTGGAGGCAGTGAGACATGCATGGTGACTGTGAGTTTAGCCATGGGGCTTTTGCTTTCCTTGTTTACTGCAGGTGGTGTCATGTCCATCTACTCCTCTATATTCCTCTGGTCCTGGGAATAGGAGAGCTGTTTCCCATCTGGTCCGTACTACCAGGACCAGTTATGCTGTCTTCGTTCCCAGATCTCCCCTGTCAATCTCATGCTTAATGTTCTCTTTAGCCATATGTGCTGTACTTACCAGTTCTCCTGCTTCTGTTCTTTCTTTTCCTAGCTGCAAATCTCTCAAGGGTATGCCTTCTGGGAAACAAGATGTGTTTCATATGTTAAAGTTTGAAACTACAGGGACTTGCTCACTCTGTCCTCAGCGAGTGTTTGCCCAAGAATCAATGTGAAAAAAGCTGTTCTGTAGCTACCCAAATTTCATAGGTCCATGTAGAGCAGATAATCTCAGTATTCAAGCTTTGGGTTTAGATTTTAGAGTGCCAGGTCTTCAGGGTACAGCCCTGAGACACTGTGTACAGTTCAGATGCGCAAAACACTCAGTGCCCAGGATTGGTTTGTACTAGCTTCTACCTGTCTGGAACAGCTGAGGTGCCAGGCTCTTGTTTTTCTATTTCCTGCAGCATCTCAGGCTATGGAGCTGCTGGTGGGAAAGGAGGAAAGAACACCATGGTGCGGTCCCACGGCGTGTCTGTGCTGGGAATTTTTGACCTCCAGAAGGATGATACTTTGTATATCTTGGTGGGACAGCAAGGAGAAGATGCTTGTCCTAGTGTAAGTGATTGCCCTTTCTGTTTTGACTTAATCCCTTCTACAAATCCATGGAGTTTTGTCTGTTTACAGAGAAAACCATTGTCCTTGAGAGGTTTTGTGTTATATGGTTAGGGATAACTATGGTTTTAATGGGGGGTACATGAGTGTGAAAAGATGAAGTACCATGTTAACTGTTCTCACTTCCTCTTCAACATTGAGACCCCATTGATAATGCACTACAGGTTCCTGATTGATCTGCATATCCCAGAGCATCTGTGTGGGTTTTCAAAGAGAAAAGACAACCCTGCCTTTCTTTCCTCTGGAGATCAGTCTTTAAGGTTGGCTTCAGAGAGCTTTGTCTTTGCTCTGCTGTTGAGCCCAGCCCTGCCATTGTCATAGTACTCTGCAACTCTGGAGACACCCACCTCACAGGGCCCATTTGGTTATTCTGTGTATGGGAATAGGAGAGACAAATTAATCACTGCTGGGTCAGTCCTGATTTTTGTGTCACTAACCAACTGTTGCTGCAAACGCCACGACAGAAGGGTGCAGCTTCCACCATTTGCAGGCACAATAATCTATTGATCGTTTAGTGTTCTTTGGAAGATGAGGGAATAGGAGATTCTTATGGAGAAAACCAAGCATTATCTGATGAAATTTCACCTAGAGATTTGAGCTGGACATTTAAATGCTGTGCATTTCTCAACTGTTAATGGCTGGCATCCAAGAGATGAAAGCTTACCAGTCTGTTACAACAGAGAAAGGTTGAAGGATGTAGACAAGAAAGAGAAGTTCTCAAGGCTGGGCGCTGAAGTAAATAATGTTAAAACTGGAATTATACATATCTACAAACAAACCATTAATATGAAGCCTCTTTGAAATGAGAAATGCCCTAACTCAAACTTCCATCTAACGTCTATAACTAGGACATTCCAGCTGAGTGTAATATATGGACTCATTAAATTGCAGGCCACTGTAATCTTAGTGAGAATTTATTGAGTGCTAATGTAATTCTTTCACTGAGGCAAAGAGATTGCGTTGACTTGTAGAAGGGACTTTTACTAGATTGGATTGTAATCAGTTATGTCTTTGCCATGAAGGATTTTTTTTTTTTTAATTCAATTGTAATCTAGTGGTTCCTTTGGGTCATTGACTTTGTCATTTTATTAATCATCCCCACCCAGCTCCAAATCAATTAAGGACAGGGAAGATGAGGGAAAGGAGGATTGTTTAGTTCCATAGGCAAGTCTACACACACAAAATGGATGCCATTAATTCTCTGGCACAACCTAGGACACATTTTGTGGTCAACAGCATAATTTGTAACTTGAGGATGCTTTTATCAGGTTCCTTTTCCGAAAGAAAACACAGACATGAAAGCAGAAGGAAGCAGAAGGTCAATCCTACTATAACAACTGTTTGTGCATTTTTCTCTTAAAATGTTCTTGACTTGGTGAGTTCACTGCATAACAAGATAGTGGAACTGAGGTGAAATATGTAAAGTAAAATAAGCTAGAAGCAACGCTTGCAACTTCCAAATGCTCACAGCAGAGTCCTGTTTGTAGGCACTTTAGTGCTCCAATTTAAAATCAAAGTGACAGTTATGTCTCTTGGGTCATAGTCCAGAAGTACTTATAAATTATGGTTTAATGTTGTGTTTGAGCTCACTTAGTGAATTCAGTGATTTGCCTAATGCAGAAGGTTCATTACATTTGGTGCTAATTGGTGGAGGCGAAAAAATGTTAAGTAGGAAATATGAACACTCTTTAGTGAGGTATTTTCTTTAACATCAGGTCAACATTGCAGTCAAAGGTGGGATTGCAGCTCTTTTGGTAGGCTTTGAACTAGCTAGCACTAGTAATTACAGTAAAAATTGTTGCTACAGCCTAAGTGTCAGATTAACATCAAAACTTGCTTGGAAGTCTAGATAAATATTAGGTGGCTAGTCTATGCTGAGCTCATTGCTACTATCCATGCAATGACTACCTACGTTAAAGCTAGCTCTGGTACGTCTGTATGAGCCACCAATACACCTTAGTTCTGGATGGGTGCACGTAGGCTGCCTGGCCATAACCAGTGGGGCACTGGAAGAGGAGTAAAGAAACTCACATTCTTTCTGTGTCTCTGCCATTTGGCTGTTGCATGACAATGGAGCAAGTCACATCATCGCTGAGTTACTCCCTTCCCCCACTTCACTTGTGAAATACAGATAGTTAATGCTGGGAAGTATTTGCAGTAAATTCTGCTACATCTTGTATGTTAAAAGTTTGTGGAGCTCTTTTACATAGTAATAGGTATCAGCACTAAGCTTGCTTCAAAATAATTCAATTAAGATGGCAACAAATTCTTCTGATGAAGATTGACACAAAAAGCAAGATTCTTCTAGAAGAACATTTGTTTGCTTCTGCTTATGTAGTTTCACTGGAGGACAATTTTTTGGTTTGGGAAGATGAAGGGTCCATGAGGCCTGTGTGTGTTCAAGAACATGCAGATTTCTTACTAGAATTCAGACCTGGTCTTCTGTTTGCAGACTAATGATGTTGTACAGAAAGTCTGCATTGGAGAGAACAATGTGATTGAAGAAGAAATACGGGTGAACAGAAGTGTCAATGAATGGGCAGGAGGAGGTGGAGGCGGGGGAGGTGCAACTTACATCTTTAAGGTATGGAAACATAGCCCATGGCACCTTCAGCATGAACACATTCTGCCACTTGCCTCAAGTACCACAACCTGAAATACCCGAGAACCCTTTATACACTTCTAGAGAAGGGTCCACAAAGTGAACTCTGGGTATCCTTCATTTCCAGTTGATAGCTGTAGTGGGCTGAGTTGGTCCTTCACACTTCTTAGAACTGCTACACAGTATGGCCACACGTGCTTCAGTGGCTTGAAGTTTCCTTTACAAACATAGTAGTTTGATTTGGATTTTTTTCAATGCAAGCTGAGATGCTGAAGCGTAATTCTATAGCAAAGTGCAAATTCCACAGGACTTTATTCAGATCTATCATTGTAGAACATTAGACTTCAGCTACACATTTGGCTTATATGGTGCAATGACAAGAAAAGTTGAGGACAGCCTGTATGTTTTCTTTTAGCAACCCTACAGCTAGGGACCTAGCACTGCTCTCCTCTGTCATGTACCAGTTTCAGAAGTTAACAATAAATTTAGATCACCCAGCCTCTACATAATCCTACATAACTCTGCATGCTCAGACAGTTTCCAGCGTAGCAGTTCTTTACCAGTGGAAACACTATATTGCACTATATATAAAGCAGTGCTCCTTAGCTGTTTGATTTGATGGAAGTCTCGTCACATGGTAACATTACAAGCTTTCTAAGAGACATCAGCATTGGAGGTACAATTCGTAGAGCTGCTGATACCACTGTTCTCTGTTGCAGAACTTGGTAGGATTCGTGTTATTCATTAACCTTTTGGATATGGGTGCATAAATAATGCAATGGTAATTTGTAGTGCTGAGCAGTCCTAGATGCCTGCTTAATGCAACATGCAGTAACTAGCATGTGGTTGGACTTCCATTTGTGTGTCTGACTCAGTCTGAACACTGCCTTCATTTCTGAATTTGTTAAGATGGAAAATGGAGAGCCGGTCCCCCTGATAATTGCAGCAGGAGGTGGTGGCAGGGCCTACAGGGCCAAAACAGACACATTTCATCCAGAAAGGCTGGAGAACGATTCTTCTATTCCAGGGTTGAATGGAAATTCAGGAGCTGCAGGTAAGGAAAGTTTATTCTTTTTAAGAAAACGTTTGTGAATATGTGGTACTCCGAGATTCCTCCTCACAAGGAGGTGAGACGAAACTCATGAAAAAGCAGTTCAGGGGGAACATGGAATATAACAGATACATACAGGATGTACTCCCAGTGCAGAATACTTGGCCTAAATAGGGGTATCGGAGATGGTATAGCTGTAGCAATGGCAACATTCTCCCAAAATAATGTAGTACCTCTCATAACCAAAGTTGTTTGATTTTTGATGTGGGAGTTTGCAGTGCCGATGTGGCCATCCTGCTCCCTGCACCGTTTTGTGCTGTGTAGGCATACTCACAGTTTCCCTGGCTTACGCAGAAAGAGCATAATTGCACCCTGGCTAGAAGTCTCTGTGAAGAGACCTTGGACTGAACAACCAGCAGAGCTGAAAGTGAGTCACTGGTGAGTATGTTGTATTTAGAGTGGGGCTGGTACGTGTTTTCACATCCCTTTCACTAAATTCCTTTTGGTCTACTTCAGAACCAACAGAGGGTTTTTCAAATGTATTTTTTGCAAAGAGAAGGGGAAGGCTCTGTAAGCCAGAAACAAATGGTTGGGAAGTAGGCAGGGATATCTTTTTACATTTTCCATATTGTCCTTGTCCACTTGTCCTTGTATGGTAGGTGAAAAGAGGCGCAGATGATTAACGTGGTCAAAAACCCTACAGAAAGGTCACTGTAGCACTGTGTAGCAAGCATATCCCCTCTTCTAACCAAGGCATGGATTCTTACTTTCAGCTGAGGTGCTTCAAAGGAGTGCTTGTTCTGCAGATCCCCGCAGTGTTTTTTACACAGAAATAACCCCTACCTGTGCCTTTTCTCTTCTCTTAACTGCAGGTGGTGGAGGTGGCTGGAATGATAACACTTCCTTCCTGTGGTCAGGAAAATCTTTGCTGGAAGGTGCTACTGGAGGAAGATCCTGCCCCCAGGCCATGAAGAAGTGGGGGTGGGAGACAAGAGGGGGTTTCGGAGGGGGTGGAGGGGGGTGCTCCTCAGGTGGAGGAGGCGGAGGATATATAGGTAAAGTGACTTCGTGTTCAAGGTGTCCCTTCCCCTCCTTTAGTGCTAATGATCAGCAAAACGCTGATAGATAATTCTCCTGTAGCTAGCGTATTTGACTGTTATGTACTAGTATGTCTGTGTGTTGCCTTTTTAGCACTAGATGAACGTATGGCATTTAGTCTCGGAGCAAATAGCCAGATGTCAGTCCTTCAGCTGTAATCCTGGCTTTGCACTGTGCAAAACGTGCCATCAAGTTCCTGCCGTGATTCCTGAGCTTTCCATTTTGGGGTTATAGTGCTGAAGAAAGAGGAGCCACAGGCTACGTGCTCCCATTGCCAGCACCTGTGTTTTGAGGACTTTGTTCCTGGAGACTGGCAGCCAGGCTTTATGCCAGGGGAAAGACGCAGCTTCTTCTACCCTACCTTGCTGTGGGTGGGCCTTGGTCCTGCGCAGGAGTCCCTGGGCGCAGAGGCTCAGGCTGCCAGGACCCCTCTTAATAACGCCAGTGGTGTTGACTAGGAGCTAACAAGGAGCTAATTTCATGTGCTGCGGGTCTCGGGACAGCTGTCAGATGGCATTACGTTGATTATAAGTGGTGTGGGCCAGATTCAATCTCTACTAACCCATAGTCTCCTGGGCCACATGTTTCTTCAGCCATCTGCACTGTGGTGGACTTTTTAACCCCTGGTTCTCCACAGCTTAAATCAAGGGTATGATAGACTAGAAATCCTGAAAGGAAGTAATGAGTTTAAATGATTAAGTGCATGTTTTGTACCGATGTTACTGTGTAATGCTTTTTTTCCAGCAGAATGCCTCACATGACATAATTTTAATTTCACTGAAGATGGTTAAAGAGGAAAAGTGATTTTTGGGTGGGGTGGGGGAATCTTTGCATGCTTGTAGTGCAAAGTATATGGCCCGTACTGTGCTTCTGATATGTTCTATGTATTGCCTATACTTTGCTCCTGCTATGTTCTATATGGCCAAGAAGAAATGAGCAACTCATAAATTCCTTCAGTCCCCATTCCTGGTAGACCACCCTGCTTTCAGGGTGCAAAGGAGAGCAAGGATGTCAGATCATTCATTCCCTCTGCTGCCACAGTACATACCTCGATCAGCAAGGGTACTGAACTTAGCCCCTGAGTACTGGTGCTTCTTGGCTTTTTTTCCCATTTCTTGGCTACATTAATTTTAAGAAGGGCTTAAAAGGGATGTTTCACAGCATCCTGATGGTTAAAGATGCAGTTTGTGCCTTAGTTTGCAACAGTCTGCCTAAAACAGAGCTAAGAAACTGTTTGTCACAAGCTGCTGCTATTCAATTGAAGTTCTAGAGATAAAAGACCAGTGGTTCATGCTACAACTCACTAAGTGTTCCCTATATGTTAAATACTTTAATATTTTTTTTTCTTTTTTTTTTTTTTTTTTTTTTTTTTTTTTTTTTTTTTTTCTTATTTGGATGCCTCCCTAAATATGCTAAAGTGATGCATGTTGCAATGCTTATCTGTATTTTAGTGCCAATGAGCCTCAGTCTGTTAAGGTAACTTCTGGTTTGACATAGGTGGCAATGCTGCAGTGGACAATGACCCAGAGATGGATGGGGAGGATGGTGTGTCCTTTATTAATCCAATTGGTACTTTATACACTCCAGCGCTTAAAGGTATTCATATTGGTCAGAAGTCTTCTAGTGGGTTTATTTCATGTTAAGAATAGTTTGCATCTGTAGTACGCTTTGCAACCCTTTGGGTACAGCTTAGTGTTATCATCAACATAAGGAGGCAGGAAGATAGCATAACAAAGTCCAATGAAGAATAAACAGAAGTAGCAGGAAGAAAGCAGGTGGAGCACTTCCCAACTATATGGTCTACCCAGCCTATAGAACGATTTTGGCCAAGGAAAGTGGTAACAGAACCTTATAGTTCAGATAATTTAGGAAACAAATAGACAAAGCACCTGACTATTCACTAACAAACATGTTCCTTGGAGCATCCCTCAACAAAGTATCCAGCTTGGACCAGGAAGTTTCTAGAGAAAACAGTGCAATGCTGCCCAGCAGTGTGTGGGAGTGATAAATACTGCCACTCCAGCCTGTGTTTGCCCAGAAGTTAGTATCTTGAATGGGTTTGGGATGTGTTCAGAAAATACAAAAATATCTATTTGCTCAAAAAATTGTTTGCTTTAGAACAGCCAGAAGTCTTATCAAATACAGATGTACTCTGGCCTGATAGATTCAGCCAGAAAGTTTTGAAAACATTGCAGTATTTGATCTCAGAGGGTGTAAAGGCCAGGAAAGAAGAGGTTGAGTCCCACAGACCACTGAAAGGGCAGGTTTCCCTTAGCCTCGGGAGCAGCCTCCTTGCGGGCCTGGTAGGACTGTCTGCGCAAAGAGAGCCAGTGCACCTCAACTGCAGTGGGGTAATTTAGCTGGATGTTATTTTCTACATGAGAAAAGGACAGGAACTATGGAAGGTGGGGAGGAATCGGTTTCTTAGATGGGGCCTACCCTGCCACATCTGGCGACCACGACCATCATGTCCCCTGCTTCTGTCAGTGTCTAAGGGAATTAAGTGAATGATCTTTACAGTAATTAACTCAACTTCTTTCATCCACTCCCTAGTGACAGAGGGGCACGGAGAGGTGGACATTAGGCTGCATATTAACTGCAGTCACTGTGAGATGGACGAGTGCCGTGTTGATCTTGAGACTCAAAAAGTCATTTGCTTTTGTGAGCCAGGCACAGAGTTGGCTGAGGATGGTGTGTCTTGCATAGGTAAGTAGGTGTATGGGGTAGGCTGCTAGTGTGTGAATCAGAAAATGTATGGCAAAAATCTGTAGCTTGGACTGTAAGACATCCTGAAAGTGTTATCTAGTCTGTCTTAAAAATGGCTTCTGTTTAATGTTACCTTCTTTCCTGCTGCTATATGCTGCAGAGTTATTTTGCTAGGATATAGACACATCAGCACCAAGGAATGGTGCACAGAGCAGCATTGCTGGTTTGCTTTAACGGTATATGTTTGGCATACCGGGCAGCACTGGGGAGGGTTGAATTTTGCGCCTGGTTGCGCTGATGCTCACATTCTGCTCTGAAATCATGAAAGTTTGCTCACTGAAGGAATTTTCCAGCTAAACTTAAATTCCTGGTCAGTCCTCTTAAAAACCCCAAAAAATGTACAAGGTGAAGGAGAATATAATTCCTATGGATTTGGACATGAAAGGTGCAGGTGCAGAATCTGTAAGAAATTGGAGATGAAGGATCTCTGAGGAAAACTGAAGATAGTGCCTGTACTTGCCTTACTTGATAAAACAAGTGCTCGGAGCTCCATTACTAGGTTTCCTTCATATTCTTGCCCAGCAGTTAGGGCAAGTGACTTCAGGATCCTGCGCTCAGCTTTGTCACTGGCATGGGAAAATTGTTCTGTATTTTTACCATTCCCATCTGTAAAATGGGTAAAAAGCATGGTTATTCTGCCAGGGTGAAATAAACCTTAATAGATGGTCATTGAATGCCTGTTTGTGCCGAGTGAGGATGCAGCTATGGAATACGTAGTACTACACTTACTGTTATCCGTTTTTTCTGCCTGGATTGGATGCATTTAGGAGATGATATATTGCAGTCCTCTTCTGCTTTTACTGTGATTTGGCATTGATAGCAGCACTTTAACCCTGGCAATGTAATGTTCTTTCCACCTCCCCAACCTCCTGCCCCTGGTTTTTACGGTCTTGTTTTCATACCCAGGGAGTGCACATGTTAATTCGTTGATAGCAAACCATCTGTTTTAATGGCTTGATATTAATTGAGGAAAGTGAAACAATGAGGTATTAGAGGTCATAGATCCTGAGAACTGATCATGCCAGAGGTTGTTTCTACACTATAGGAACAGCAAATGAGTAAATGGAAGGAAAAGCAGAAAAATCTGTCTGCAAAAAAGTGGCTGGTGGAAGATCATTTCAAAAATGTAATTCCTTCTTCTCCTGCCTCTGTTACAGCTGAGCCAGTTGTTCATCTCCCCCTCTCCTTGGTCTTGTCTGTAGTAACTTCAGCATTGGTGGCTGCTTTGATTTTGGCTTTTTCAGGAATCATGATAGGTGAGTGTTTCTCTGCAAAAGATATTTTCATATGAGGGCTGGATCTGAGCCAGGGATAATTGGGCCCTGGGAGGCAAAAGGATTCAGGTTTTTAGCTACTGCTGTATTTAATGACACCTTCCCACACACATGCCTTAACTTCAGATTTCAGTAGTTGTTTCTAACCACAATGACCAATTTGAGGAGGATTCAGTTACTGACTGCATCTCGAAAGAGACATTATTGCCTGTGTTGTAGTGTAAAGCTGCCAGAACACAGCTGCCGCTGGTTTTGTGAGAGCTGTTGGTGCTTAATGCCTAAAAGCAAGCTTCTTTATTTGTGTGGCTATATACAGATTTAACCTCTTAATGTATGACATTTAAGCTTGACATTCTCACATAGGTTTGCCTTTTACAAACTGCTGCTTCGTATGATGTGGGAATTCTATGCATCTTTATTTGAAATTCCAAACGGTATTTTTCACCCTTTCATTTTCTTATTTTAAACAATTGCTCACCTGCATTCGATTGTAAGCAGAATAGATTTGAATCAATGAAAAGCAGCCAGGGATTCAAACCACAGCTCTGCCACCTTTCTTTGTCCACCCTGTATATAGTCTGGGGGAGGGGAGGGGTGTACCCAGAGCAGCAAACGGCAACTATTAAATTAGATTTGAGCAGCTGTTTCATTTTTAAGAATTTCAGGAGTTATCAGTTGCATGCACATGGTCTTACATGTATGATTTCTGAACTGACAGTACCCCTTTAAAATTCCTAATTACTTCTCAGGGAGTGGAAGGGTAATCCTCTTTCCGTCCAACTAGCCTATCATTGCCATCTCAGGAAAGAGCAACGATTTAAAAAATCAAAGCAAAAGCAATGAGGAGGAAAATGGAGGATGGGAAGGGTTTGTGGATAGGCCATTTCATCCGTCTGCCTTTGCAAGTGCATGTTTACCCCTTAAATTCTTCCCCTGAGCAACATCTGCTGGAGAAGATGCAATAGCTATTACTGTCACAGTTTTGGGCTCAATCCAGCTGCCACAGAAATCAATAGTAAGGGTAATAGTGATTTAACCTGCTCACGATTGGCATCTTGCGTTGAAAAAAATACTGCAATATAAATTACTATTTCAAGGAATACCCACAGGACATCTTCTTTCAAGGTGTGATACCTAATGACGTTTCAGAAGTATCAACGAAGTGATTCAAGGGATGTAACACTACCATAAACTGGTTTCAAATTTAGTCCAACTCTGTTGTTTAGAAAAAGAGGAAGTTTTGCAAAATAAGCTAGTTTTAGGTACAATGTGTTATTCTGAGGTAAGTTTACTCTGTCCATTTTGAACAATATGATGCAATAATTCATTTCAGATTCTAGTCACTTCTGCGTGATTTAGGAAAGTTGGTTATGCCCTGACTCCTCAAGTTTGGAACTGGACTCATACTTAGAAGGTCCAGTTAAACTAAATAGAACAAAACAAAAACCTCAGAACTGTGAAATCGTAGATCTCTGCAAGTGAAATTCATTTTACTTCTTCCAAACAGTTCGTGAGCAAGCCTGTTTCTTCATAAGATGTGTAAATCAAAGGTTCCTGGATAACTTCACATTCCATTTTCTATCTGTAATTATTCGATGTACAGAAATATGATGGTGTCACTGTCTAGTTTGATTCACTGAAATTTGGTCACATGGCAGATTCCAGTGAGGTGTGCTGCACAGCTGCTGTCCTGTTCCAAAGTCGAATCAGTGTCTCTGGTTTACTGTGTTCTCCATATTTAGTATATCGTCGGAAGCACCAGGAGCTACAAGCCATGCAGATGGAGTTACAGAGCCCAGAATATAAACTGAGCAAGCTGCGTACCTCCACTATCATGACAGACTACAATCCCAACTACTGCTTTGCAGGAAAGACCACATCCATTAGCGACCTCAAAGAGGTGCCTCGAAAAAACATCTCCCTCATCCGGTAAATTCGTCTTTGCTTTCCCCATGCTTCACACTATACACTCGCATATGCTGGCTCTCTTACACAGGTGTGAACTCATGCCTTTGTGTAGACACGTACAAATTCTCATGCATTTTTAGACTCATGCCCCTTTTCATAAGAAACAAAAAAAGCTGCAGACTTGTGTGGAGAGGACTAGATTTCGGCAGTCTCCTTGACTTTTTACAGGTGCAGTGTTAATCTTCTGGGATTATGAGAGGAACTGAAGAGTCATCACCAGTAACTCAGACACATCTTTTGCAACTGTGCAATGGGTGGCCTGTTTCAGAATTAACTGATGAGATGCTGGGAAGGTTGAGGCTTGCAGGAGGCTCTTAAAGTTGTTGATGGGGTCTTTGGTAAAGACAGTGACATCCTTAAGTACAACAGCAGGAAAAGCAATGGGTTTGAGACTGCCAGACAGTATTAAAAAGACAGGAATATAAAGCCAGCAGGGTAGTCACGTCTAGATCAGAATTTCTGGAAAGTTCAAAATAACCTCTTAAAAATTTGAAACTTCAGAGTTCTTTCCTGCCTTGCTCTGCTGCAGGATACCGTGCATGCCACTTGTGAATGTGACACTACCCTGGTACCATGCAGTTTTACACAAAAGCTTACAGTGCTAAAAAAGATGATGCTCAGAGCATTCTATGCAGTCTGCAATGTTTTGCTGTCTCTTAACTCATTCGCCCTTACCTGCACATCTTGCTGGACTGCATCTGGAAGTTTCCAGTATACCCTTTGCTGCTGCCTCCTTTGTCACTTAGGCTCTGAAAGGATTTTTGAAGTGTGGCAAGCTGCAGAGAGCAGAGGATACAGCTGGGAGTTGATAAGGGCAGGGAAGGTGGGATTTTTGGGAGCAGGGTGAGTTATGAGCTGTAGAGATCTGTTTTATACCCTCAGTTTGTAATAAGTTGGTTAGACATAGACAAGAATAATGTCTCAGGCTGATACCTACAAAACCTTACTAGAAGAAGTAGTTGAGTCACAGGCGACACAAGTCCTCACTGTGGTTTCACTGCCTAGACTGGTCTTTACCCTGGCAAAACTACAGACAGAGCTTATGCAACAACAGAGCAGATTTCCCTTAGCAGCACCCGTTTGGACGGGCAGGAGGGCAACAGCTCACGCAAAACCAGTCCACTGATAGACCAGAGAACAGAATCAGCACGTGTCTCAGGCCAGACCTGGCTCTACCAGGAAAGTGCATGTTGTAGAAGAGCGCCTTATTGAGAGCCTTTCACCTGGACTGAGAAGCAGAGGCGCAAACTACTACTGCCCAATGTGCAGCCCATGCAGGGTTGAGAGGGACTCAGGATCTGGGACGCAGCCTCATTCTCTGCCGGAGTTTGCTATGTTGTTTTGACATGCCACCTACATGTATAGCTATTGTTGTACCAGTTGACTTAATGTTAAACGAGTGAACACTGAATAGACAGGTGTATCACAAAATCTGTATCACAAGGACATAGGACAGGATCTGTTGTGTGATTAATTCCTTTCTCTTTTTCTTGTACCCTTATTCAAAATGAAACTGTACATTTCATAATATGATGAGTGCCAGAAACAATTCTCAGCACTAATTCCTACAGCCAAGTGCTTTACAAAGCAGTATCATCACCATTTATTGGGTAAGGTGCTTACCCAGAATTACAAAATAAATCAGGAAAAGATACTTGGTTTAGAATTCAGGTCCTTTGAGAACCATTGTGTTTCCTAGTTTCTTGTTCAATGTGTTTTTTGTAGTGGTGACGCATAAACATCGTGGGAACTGTTAATGTATTTAGGGCATGGGAACACCAAAACTTAAGACCTATCTTTATTGGCTCGTTTTGGTGCACTCACCTCTAAAGCACTGACACCAAAACCATAGAAGAGTGCTATCCATTGCACAATGCAGTGCCAGCAGCTTGGTTTCACTGGGGACTGTTTGCTTTTGAGGATTGCTTTACCTATCAATTAAATACATTGTAGGTCCAGGAAAGATCACCTCAAGGTCTGGTCCCCTGCATAGCGTGAGGAGTGGTATCATCAGTGTCAGTATCCGGTTCTCCCTGTCTCACTACCATGAAAATTGTGAGCCCATTCTGTGAGCTGTGACCACAGTGTTTTAATGTGTGTTCTCTGTAGTAAAACCTTCTTGTCTTCTCTGGTCTGTCCAGGGGTTTGGGCCACGGAGCCTTTGGTGAGGTATATGAAGGTCAGGTGGCAGGGATCCCCAGCGACCCCACTCCCTTGCAGGTGGCTGTGAAAGTAAGTGACAGTGTATGAGTTATCGTGATGGTTTCATGCACCTTTCACCCAAGAGTCCCAATGCATTATAAAAATGAAGATGAATTAAGCGTTACCATAGTACGGAAGGATGTAGCTAGAAAGGTTGCTGCTCTATTGCAACACTTTAATCCATCATAGCGATGGTACAACTTGGAGCATATGGGCTTGCGGAACTATTAAAAGAGGTCTGTAAGTAGTAAACAGGCAGATTTCCTATCCAGCTGCAGTAGACTGCGAGTATGAGAAATAAATCCATCCTCCACACGCTACACCTGATGTTGTAACCTGTCCAAAGCCTTTGAGTCAGAGGCCAAAAGTCTTCAGAGGGCCAAGACCAGCTGGCACATACATCAAAGAGCCTGCAGGTAGGAGATGGCTGGTTTTCCAGGGATCTCACCGCTCCATTACAGGATGGATGTGCACTGGATGTGAAGGTAAATCCTAAGAGACCCTGGTAGGGTTCTCCAGGCCTTCAGCAGCCCAGCTAGCTTATTTTCTCCTAGAAGTTGCATAGCAGCACAGTGCTACTGCTGGTTATAGTAGATAGTGTTGCTGGGAGGGAGCAGCGTTGAACTGAGAGCTCAGGAACTGTGGTTCTCATTCCTCATCCTCTGTACAGCAGAGTCCCGTATATTGAGCACGGTTCCCTGTGCACTCTGGGCGATTTCCTTTGCTGGGAGGAGGATGGCAATGACGTTTATAGGCCATGTGTTCTGATCTGTACCTTTCAACAGATTTCACAGTCTAGTTTAGTAATGATCTAGCTAGTATCTTAGATTGAGGTTTCTTTTAGAGAAACAAAGATTGCTGGAGACAATGTTGGTGCTTTAGATTGTCAGGTGTTTTACATCTGTAAGTTTAAATATATTCTCCTTGTCAACCTGTTCTTTCTTTTCCAGACCTTGCCAGAAGTGTGTTCGGAGCAAGATGAGCTGGACTTCCTCATGGAAGCTCTCATTATTAGGTGTGTATGAATAACATGAACAAGCACTTGTTGGAAAAAAGCACTGTGAGGAAAAAAGGTGCTTTGAAAGATGGTGTCCATGCAACACATCTATACAGTAGTTTTAGCGCATGGCTGCCAGTATTTTAGAAAGAGGATAGGCATTACTCTCCTTTTCTATTCTTCTTACAAATGAAGAAACTGAGGCACCAGATGATTAAGGGCTGAATTTTCAAGGGAGTCCACAGTAGTTTTCATTATCCAAACTGAAAAACTTGAGGCCCAGTTTTCAGAATTGATAATAGAATCCTTTGATTGCTCTTAGAGATCAGAACATGAGGTAAGAAGAAACCTTAGGAGTTTTGATTGGACTACTCAAAACTAACACATGGCATTGACCTAATGCTGCTGTCATGTCACATCTCAGTGACTGAGTCCTAGAATCCACAGAAATAGTTTGTCGTCTCATTGAGGTCTGGAGAAATGAGAAAATATTAGAGACTAGACCTTGAGGAATATCTCCTACATAAGCAGATCCCTGTGTTGGGTGTATTATTTTGAACAACTCTGCCCTGACTCAGCTTCTGCCCCTTGAGTAGTGAACTTAGGAGCAGACTCTTCTTTTCATAGAATCATAGAATCGTCTAGGTTGGAAGGGACCTTTAAGTTCATTGAGTCCTACCAGTAACCGAACACTCCCAAACCCACCACTACACCATGTCCCCAAAGTAGCACGTTTACCCATCTTTTGAATACCTCCAGGAATGGTGGTTCAACCACTTCCCTGGGCAGCCTGTTCCAATGCTTGCCAACCCTTTCTGTGAAGAAATTTTTCCTAATATCCACCCTAAACCTCTCCTGGCGCAACTTGAGGCTGTTTCCTCTTGTCCTGTCAACTGTTACTTGGGAGAAGAGAATGACCCCCACCTCGCTACAGCCTCCTTTCAGGTACTTGTAGAGAGAATAAGGTCTCCCGTCAGACTCCTTTTCTCCAGACTAATGTCTTATCAGACATGCTCTGCTTCCTGTGACCCCTAAGTCTTGCTGTAGCCCAAAAAAGATGCAGAGTATGTGAGATGGAAAAGCAGCCAGAAGCCACTGCTTCCCCACCTCTGTTTCTGCCCTACGCAGACAGACACAAAGTGCAGGGGTAGCACTTTAGCTTTATCCAGCTGCCTTGCCTTTGACATTTGTCACTTATTCTGAAAAAAACCCCAAACATTCCCCGCAGCAAAGCATTTGGATTCTTTTCTGTAATTGTGCTTTTTGGATCAAAGCTGCTCCATAATTGAGTGTCTGTGTCTCCACAGCAAGTTCAACCACCAGAATATTGTGCGCTGTATCGGGGTGAGCTTGCAGGCACTGCCCCGTTTCATCCTGCTAGAGCTCATGGCTGGAGGTGACCTGAAATCGTTCCTGAGAGAGACGCGGCCTCGACCGGTAAGAAAATGGAAAATTGAATTTTATTTAGTAAGCTGTTGCCACAAGGCAAATACATAACTATAGAACAGCTGATCCATGCAGCTCCTGTTTCCCAGTATTTTAGAGGGTCAGAAAATTTCTGTTGCTGGAAGACCACTCTGGAGACAGGACGCAGACGTAGAGGGAACAACTTATATGCAGAGGTGCCTCATCCCTGGACTTTGCTCGATAACATTGCAGATACTATCTAAAGAAAGAACACAATTAAAACATTTTTAAAAAACTGAAACTCTACTCTTACCTTCCTCGCACCAGATGGGAACAGGTTGGGCGGAAGCATTAAGGTATTAATGATAAATCCGTTATTTACACTGCTGATGAGGTGCATTTCTGTGGATATCTGTCAGTACAAGTTTGACACAGGCAGGAAGCGAATCTGGCCCGGAGCTGTTGACTTAATAGCAAATATCTTTAGTCCTGAGCTTTAAAGCTTTTCCTACTGAAATCGGCATCAATAGGAAATGATAGTCAGTTAGAAACGTGTGAGAAATGAATTAGGACTTCTAGAGAGGAATCAGTACTTCAGAAAAATAAAGTTTTCTCTGAGCCGCTGGATCAGAAAGGCATTCAGATGTTGTTGAGGTTTAGCACCAGGGCCCAGCTTCATACTCTACGTTTCTTTGACACTGGGCAAAATGCTGGATTTTCTCAGTACAAGAGAGACACAAATTGGCTCTAACAGATAAGATTCTTCCTCGAGGCATCTGGAAACAGATCGACTTTGTATTTTTTTCCTTGCAGTCTGGTTTCCAGACATATAAAACGGTCTGTGTTGCCCAGGAGCACTGCGGTCTTGGATAGATTGCAATAAAGTGGCTCCTGCCTGGGTAAGAAGGCTAAACACCCAGAAAGTCAAGATGTTTGAAATCTGAGCAAGCAGTCGTTGCAAACGGAGGTCGGTTTTCTGTAGCATCTAGAGATACTCTTGTCAGCTCATACAAATGGGCTGAACTTGGTGGTAGGTGAATGGGGAAATTCCTGGTTTGCAATGTGGGCTCTGCTCTCATCCGGCGCAGAGCAAAACAGCCCAGGTAAGGTCTGCCGCCTTGTAGGTGCTTTGTTCAAAACTGCCAGGACAAGGTGTGCTAGATGTGCGAAGTGGCAGGTGAAATGGGATGGTGTAGGGCAAGGGCATCCATCACTTCACAATGGAAGCATCTTTTTGGCTCGTTAAATTAGAGAGAGAAGCCAGCTTAGCAATGATCGGGGTCTTGTGAGGAAGCACCAAGAACATTAGTCCTGAACAGCAGG